TAAAAGGGGTTGCTTGGCCCAATTTCGAGCAGGCATTTCACAGGCATTTGTCTGGAAGTAATTAATAATTTTTGGCACATTTATACGGCAGCAGCAGCAGCAGCAGCAGGTCAAGGCTGTCAATTAAACGCGCCAAAAGCGAGGGCTGCCTAGGCAGTTCAACGAACTCAGGGTAATCAAAGCTACAGGTAGACAGATGAGGCGGGGCGAGGGGACTGGCGGGCAACACATAAAGGTTTCGACGAGCGGGCAGCAGCCAAAGTCGAGGGGAACCACTGAAGGCGGCAGCAACAAGTTGGGTCTTCACTCCAAAGGCGGGCAGCAATACATCAAGCGAAGGGTTGCCGAAAGCCACGCACACACACACACACACACACACGCACACATATACATACATATATGTATATAAACAACACACAGACACGCACATTGGGCCCTGCCTAAAAGCGCTGGCAACTTTTTATGGGGCGCCCATTTGCTCATTATGATGACTACGTCTGCTGCTGCTGCTGCGGCGGCTGCGGCTGCTGCTGCTGTGCTTAGGCCAGGGGGCCAGGGGGCAGCGGGCTGCAAATGTGTCATAAAAGGCGCAACAGTCTACAGTCTGCATGTGCGGGCTTTTGGCATTTTGATAGGGCTACTCAGCTCCACTTTTTGTGCTCATTTCTGTTTGCCTTTTTCTGAGTGCGCGCGCGACGGCACCTACCCGAAATCCACTTGGCCTAGGTCAGGTTCTTAAATGCTTGCCATCTTTGTATGTATGTGTGTGTGCGTGCTTGTGTGTGCGTGCTTGTGTGTGTGTGTGTGTGTGTGTGTGCGTGTGGCCTTTGCGGTTTAAGTTGGCTACCTGTTGCACAGTTTTGTCGCCCTCGGGCTTTTTGAGCCTGTCCAAAACGGCAGCCGCAACAACAACAACAATATCTGGGCCCAAATTACGTCTCATTATTGTGTCGCAGCTGCTGTCGAGACTTCTTTGTTGGAGCCAGTAAAAAAATAAAAACAAAAACAACAAAAAAAAAGGCTAATAACGGCAATTAAGCCAACATGCGTTTTCAGTTGTTGGCGCTAATAAAGTCGACTAAAAAAAGTGGCAACTAAAAAATTGATTTCCAAATTGATTCAGTTTCGTCTGCAGCTCATAAACTGTCAGCGCCTCGGCGCAGGATGTGAGTGGCAGGAAAACAAAAAGCTGAGTGAAGACCAGGAGCAGGAAGCAGCTGCTGACTGCTGATTGCCCACGGTGTGTGTATGTGTGAGTGTGTGTGTGCGAGTGTGTGTGCGAGTGTGTGTGAGGGTGTGCTTGCCTATTTTTGGCCCAATTTCAGGCGACTTTTGTAGGTCGTCGGCCTTGTGGCACATCGATGCTTAGCAACGCCTGCGACTAACTCGATTATGTGTGGGTGTGTGTGCCTGTGTGCGTGTATTGGTGTTGCGTCTAGGAGCTGGCTATTTTTGAAGGATTCTTCATTTGATTTTTAACAGCTTTTGCTTCCGGTCGCTGTTTTTTGTATTCTTTACGCAACACAATAAAATTTCAAGCATATTATGAACAAAGATTTAGTAAACTTTAAGCCCTATCAATATTCTGTAGCATCTTGTTCATTTAACGCTTTAATTCATACTTTTCAGAAAATAGCAAATTATAATGCTTATTAACTAACTTTATATTAAAAAAAATATATATTTGCCGAGGCGCAACCGAACTATATCGGAAAAATATATATTAAATCAAAACTCGAGCCAGCAAAATACATATTTAAAATATGGAAAAGTCCTCAACGCCAGCAATAAATAAAGCATATATACTACTGTAATGAGACGACTTGCCAATTGAATTACCAATTGAAATAACACCACAATATCATTTTTTTGTAGTCCTCGCTAGCTAGTTAGAGGCTGAGCCAAAAGCAGAAGTACGGGCAAGTGGATTTCAAGTCCAGGCTAGTGTCTGCATGTTGGTTAGTTAGAAAATTTGGATTTATATCCAAATCTATAATTCCACTAATGACAATTTAAAGGTTAGCACGTTAGTTTGTTTAAGAATACACATACAGGGATTGAGCCCAAGGCATTTAAATTGAAAAGTGCATATGCTTTTAATTTATTTTGTTTCTTATAAATATAAATGTAATTCATAAATTATAATAGAATAATGAAAAGCTAAAAGTCTAAAAGGTAGAAACAACAACGACACGAATGGGGTATTTAATTAGCCTGTTCAGGCAGCTTTTCCCAATTCACAGCCTGTTTTGGTATGTAAATGGATCTAAGCCTTTTTCAAGCATAAATGAATAACTTATAGATAAAAATCAATTGAATTCTATATAAAGCTTACAAGTAACTTATAGATGCATATCAATTCTATATACAGCTAAATTCTGCATTCCAACTTTGCTGATCCATCTTTAACTGCATTTTAGACTTAATCAATAACCGTCTTTTCCCGTTTTAATATTCAAGAAATCAACGGCCAAGTTGTCCAGCTTTCAAATTGAATTCAATAAATCAAAAGCCATGTTTTCAGCTCAAATGTCTTTAGGCTTATGCTCAACTGTTTAAACATTTTTTAGTTTAGTCAGGCAGCTTAAACTAAAGTTTTATCAGAGATTTTTAGTAACAGGCGAAATGATATCCAATTTATGTGCACATATTATTTAAGGACACTTTTAAAATGGCCTTAAATAATGGCGCAATAGACAAGAGCCTATAAAATAGATGTGGAAAAAAAGATAATGCACTTGGGAATTCACTTGAAATGTTCTGTGTGAGGGATCAATTTGAATGGAGCCTACGCATCGCATCGCTCTGTCACTCTTCGATTCGCCTTCTCTCCGCCACTTGCTGTGTTTTGGGCACAACTGTACCCTGGGAATGCTGCAGCATATCAGTTTCCAGAAAAAAAGTCAGCAAATCACCTCTGAAAACTCTTAGCTTGACTAATTTTAGATCAACAGCCCCCAGCCCCATTTGAATGTGTGAGTGCGAGTGTGTGTGTGTGTGTGAGTGTGTGTAATGCGCACCAAAATCCAAGCCCATGTGACATCGACAAGATGTCGTCTTTGTCGTCATTGCTGCTGTCATTTCGGGGGGCTGTTGCGACTGCGCTGCGTCTGCGTCTGCGTCTGGAGCCTGGGACTGGCAACGGGAATGGGAATGGGACTGGGTCTGGGACTGGGAGCATGGCACGCTTGCAGCTTGCATTAAAATAATTGCTTCCGAAATGACAACTGCTGTTAAAAGTGGATGTGGATGTAGTAGATGCTGCTGCTGCTGTTGCTGCGGATGCCCAAGACATGCGCAGCCCCTGACGGAGATGTTCATGTTGATGTGCTGGCAACATGTGCTCCCGCTCTGCTGCTCCCTCTCTGCTCCCGCTCTGCTGCCGCCTGGTCTGTGTGCGCGCCTGCGCGTGCCAACATTGTTAATGTTGCCACAGTCTGCAGCCAGCATCTACGGCATCTGCCGGGCGTTGCTTATTTACCGTTAAGGCGCAGCCGTCTGTCACTCAGGGCAACCGATGCGCGGCACCGTTGGGACGGGGGCATTCCAGCAGCACTCCTGCGAAGCAGCCGCGTCCATTTCTACATAACATTGCCTGTTTTAGTACCCCAACCCCAACCCCAACCCCGACTCCAGCCCTACCCTGTCCTCGGCTCTTCTCTCCACTCCTCCACTCCGCCAGTTGGCGCTCGTCTGGGCCCATATGTCGCCTTCGTCTGCAGCGTCTATTTTTGGATGCCTCGCCTGCGCGCCTGCGCACACATGACACACCAACACACACATAAGATTCAAGCGTGTGTGCGTGTGGGCGGGCACTAAATTTCCATTTGGATTTTCAATTTTCCATTTACCGTTGCGCGTTCGATGCTCAATGCATGTGCCCAGCACTTTGCTTAATGGTTCCTGTGCGCTGAAGCACTTTAAGACACGGCTGCGTCTCAGGCTCTGGGAATTATATTTATGACTCTGCGCCGGAAATAGATGCCGAGTTCGGTTTTATATGAAGTCACAGCTATAAGTCTCGGAATAAAATATGTGCAGCATTTGTCATGCTTATTGGCATTAACTGAGGCTCATCTTACGAAAATATCTCGATCTCCCCGTCCTGAAATTAGATGAACGCGCTTAGCTGAGTGTAACAGATGCCGGGTCAATGACATTGGCTGTTATTCTTTTTAAATAATATGTGTAGATTGTTATATTTTGATTTTCATACTTAACTTGTTGCTAATAGGTTTTCTTTGTGTTTTGATTAATCTTGTGAAAAACAAAACCAAAAGAAACTGCCACACAAAAGCAAGCAGTGCTGCAGAAATCGCTAGCAAAACGCGCGCGTTAACAGTGGTGCCAATTCAGCTTGACATACAGACAGAGCACGTACTGCTTATTTTCAACCTCTTGTGGTATGCACGTACACTGCTTAAAATATACCAAATGCATTGCTGTAAACTGCTTTGGAAAACTGACAATATAATCAGCAGTAGTAAGCAGTTCAGCAGTTTGCTTCGGTAAGCAGTTGTGCTGTTTACATCGCAGGATTGGAAGTTCCTGTAAACAGCGCTAGTTGGTGTCTTGGCTATTCTATGTGCCGCAAAATCCAAACTTGGGAATTTTTAATTTTTATCCGTTTTAAACGCTTTAAAATTAATTTTAAAAATTAAATAATAATATTAATTAATTAATTATGCCTAGCAAACTAAAATACGCCAACAGCTGCAAATGAATTGGCTTTAATTAATGCAAAGTAACTGTTAAGTATATGTTGCCTAAATGTATTTTGACAAGTACTTGAAATTTAAGTGGACAAACAATTTACTGTGCATCTGACTGGCATATTAAATGGCATGAAGAAAGCGTAAAAAATGAAGAGCTTTCAAAAAGATATGCCGCTTTATGAAAACCCTATTCAGCTCAAGGCTTAAGCCATATTTATCTTTATATCTTGGAAATAATCAAGTTACTTACGAAAACTTTTGCCGTTGCATTTCTTCAACTTTCAGATCGTTTACGGCGCCGACGGCCAACCTGTTCGTCCAGACGCCAAGCGCGGACGCGGCAAGGGCAAGTCAACTGGCGCCAATGCCGCCGTCGTCAATGCCACAGCTGTGGCCGCTGGCAATGGAACACCAACAACTGGGGTAAGTGCATCCATCTGTTTTACTCCAACGTCAGCTACTGGTTAACGCCTCCAGCCACTTGACTTCGATTGCGCCACAGTCGCACTCGCAGTCGCAATCGCAATCACAATCCACAGGCCGGCACAGTCAAGCAAGCTAATTAAGTCACGCGGCAGCAGCAGACAGTTTGTCTGCGGTTGAACAGACCAAGTCCCAGTCTTTTACCCAGACCCAGACCCAGTCCCAGTCCCAGGGCCAGACCCAAACGCTGACTCAGTCCGCAGACCCATTTTGAATGCCTGCCGCGGCATGCGCCGCATTTTCCACGTCATCACGCCGGGGCATCCGCATTGTTTGAGCAGGCAAATGGGCAACAGGCTTCAGTCTGCCTGCTGCTACCCTCTATTCAGCAAAAGTTGAGTGCGCAAAAAGCCAAAGGCAGCACCAGCAGCAGCAGTGGCAACGGCAGCAGCACCAGTAGCAGCATAATCCATCCACCACGCGTTGCACGTAGCAAACTCGCAGAGTCAGTGGCAAGCGTTGGGGTCAACCATTTGCCGTTCTCTTTGGTAGCAATTTCATCAGCAGCCGCAGCGCAAAAAATCGGAAAAGGGCAGACAAAGTTATGCTCCCAAAGGCGGCCACTGAAGTAGCAACATGCCGCACGTAGCAAGACCCAAACACAGCCAGCAGCAGAGTCAGCAGCAGACCCAGACCCAGACACAGACACAGACCCAGACAGAGGCACAGACCCGGTCGAGCTAGCTACTTACGAGCATTGTTTGTTGGCCAGGCGGGAGGGGGTCTGTCTGCGACTGGGGAATCAACCATCGGTCCGATGGGTACACTGCCGGCAGCTAGACAGAGGCTGACATTGGGCTTTGACTTTGACCTTAGCCATGGCTTCGACACGCAACTTTCATACGCTGCCGGGTTGCCCGGTTGCCGGGTTGCCGGGTTGCCGGGCGGCCGGGCTGCCGGGTTTTCCCTCTTTCAAGGTCGTGCCTCGTAAAAAGTTGTCTAATTTAATAGTCATTCACACACTTCCTGACTTCCTCACTGCGTCACAGCCCAAAAACGAGAACCAGCTGCTCTTTTATCCCAAATGCTGTCATTTAATCTGCGATTATGTTGTCATTGCTTCGCTTGGCTAAATCTCTTTATGATATTGCGTGGGTTTCTCGTGTAATAATACGAGGTAAAAGTATTTTGGTAAAGAATGAAATTCAAAAATAATCAAGTAAAGCCTTCGTTTTTGAGGATAAAAAGAATTTATTTAAATTTCATTGAATTTAATAACTTATTCTCGGTAGAGCTGAGTTGTCTTTTGGGCAACTGAACTGCACGGTTTGAACCACAGTTTTTCTAGGCCCAAGGTTCTAACTCAGTTCTGTTAACTCAGACTTCGGTTTGAACCTTCGCTCAATCAATTTTAGCAGACTAATATCTATTAATCTATAAATATAAAAATAATATATGGAAAACTGTTAAAGTAACTCTCACTCTGAGAAAGCTGGTCACATACTTTTTGTAAAGCCTGTGAAATGTGATATTGTTTAGGGAATACTCTGCACAAATTCAAATTTCATCATGAGATTAAATTTCTATATAAACCCTTTAATTATCAGTTCAAAGATTAACTGACTTAAATAACTTTCATTATCAGATGAGAGTCCTATATGGACTGATAAACCCTGCAGCTAATATACTCTCCTCATTGGCGTCCCCATTAATACCAAATTTAAGCGTAAAGAAATGTGCCACAAATCCCAAAACTTTTATCGTTTATCTATGAACTGTGTTTATCTAGCTGCCAATTACATTCCTGGGCCAAATCTGTGCATGTAGAGCACATTTAGTTCGAGGATGTCTTCAAAACAACTTTCCTTTCGCGACTTTATGCTTTCCGTCTCTGTGTGTGTGCGTGTCTTCAGCTCGGGAACCTTTGTAAGAACTTGCCACAGCGACTGTTGCCGCAGCCGCAGCCGCAGCAGAGGATGGTCGTAAAAAGTAAAACAAACTTGAGAGTCATTCATATGGCTACAGAGTTTATCCTGCTGCTGTTGTCCTTGTGCGGCATGTTGCATGCCACACACCCCATTGTTGCTGCCACTTTAATCTGGCGATTTGTCTTGTAAAACGGCAGCGGCAACAGCTGTGTTTATGTCCACATTCGCAACCCGGGTGTCCCGTCAATGAAGCGTTGATTATGTCGTCATGGCCACACACACACTGGCACACACACTCGCACACACTTGACATTCCATGGCAAGCCCATAAAAACGCAGACAGACAACGATGCCAGCAGGCGGCAGGCAACAGGCAACATGCCACATCCTTAGCAGCCAGCCAGCCAGCCAGCCAGTCAGCCAGGCAGCAGCAAGAGTCGCAGCCAAATCACGTTGCTCCATAAAATGCCAAATGTGCAACAAGTCTCGCTGGCTCCTTGCCGCTTGACTCTGTGGCAGCAGCTCTCACTGCGTGCCACTAACGTTGCGCCGCTTGACATTGACACTGGCAAACGACGCGGCGACGACGGCGGCAGCTTCTTTAAGTTTTGCTGCGGTTGCCTTTGAATTGCTTGGTGGCACTTGCTGCTCGACTTGCTGCTCGACTTGGTCTTCCTTGCCGTCTCGCACTCGGGCATCGTTCTCGTTCTAGTCTATTGCCAGTTGCCAGCCCGTTGGCATTTTGTGTGCCGCTGCTGCTGTTGCTGCTGTTGCTGCTGTCTTTCCGGCAACAGTTGCAAAGTTTGTCCATGTTGCCGTTGTTGTTGCAGCCTTTTGTTGCCTGTTTGCCTGCCTGGCTGCCTGGCTGGGTGAAAGTGAAGTTTCCCTGGTTGGCCCACTGACCAACAGCAGCTGTTGGCAGCAATGTTGGCTGCCAACACGTCGCCCAAAAATTCAGGTCGCATTGCATTGCCATTGGCAGCTCGTGACCTTTATCGCCTGCCCCCAAAAACGAGGCAGCAACTGCAAAGCAAAACTCAAAAAAAAAATCAAACAACAAGGAACACAAAACATGAAATAGTCACCGCCACAACACGCGGCCGGGATTCGGGATTTAGCAAGGACAACGCTAAAAGCGTCGCTCCTCCATTTGGCTGCAACTCTCCGACACCTACACAGCCAATGGCAACGTGCAGCGCGCAACGTGCAACGTGCAACGCGCCACGTCAGCTGCCGCATTCATGTTTGCATGTAGTTGCCAGCATTTTTGGCAAACGCTGCGCTGCGCTGCGCCCATTGTTAAAAGTCCGTGTCGGCCTGGCCTTTGTTGCCCGTCGACTGACCCTGTCCTGGTCCCGGCTTCCGTCCCGGTCCCGGTCTCGGTCCATGGCCATGGCTAGTGCCACGGCCACTTGCAACTTGTTGCCGCCGCGTCATGCAATCTGCATATCTGTATGTTGGCTGCTCCAGACGGACGTCGCTCGGCGCTATCGTTGCCCAACACTGTCCAGCGGGAGTTTGGTCGAACCTGTTATGTAAATTGAAAGATCTTATCTGAGTATGTGCATGTTTTCGGAAGGTGGTTTCTATTTAAGGCATGGGTATTCATTCTCTATTCTTGAAATACTTAAATATATTATTAATTATAATCTGAAGAAAAAATGCTAATAGAGCAGAATAATAATATTAAGAAGTCCATTGTTAGCTATAAAAACTATTAGAATTTCCCAAAATTGCCTTTGCATATGGAAAACCATTTTTGAAAAAAAAACTCTGTTACCTTACCATGTTGCACTGTGTAGGCTGCGGCATTTTGGCTTTTGCATTTTTAAGCCAACACCCACGGCCCAATTCCAACGCCCAAATGAATTGAATTCTTTTTTGTATGCGTGCCAAACAGCTCGTGTGGCAAACTGGCAACTCGCAACGTGCAACGTGCAACGCAATTAGTCAGCACACACACAAACACACACACATCGAGGCGATGCAATCAGCTGTCACAATGTTTGGACAGGGTCTGTGCCTCGTCCCCCCCAGGGCGTTGGCGCACAGAGTGTGGCATGTGGCTTTGCCCCACTTGAATGGATGCCGCACGCTGCACTTAACGTCTAATTAGGCGCCGCTCAAAAGCCGCTCAACGGGTTGCCCGGCTGCCCGGCTGTCCGATTGCCGCCTGGTTAGCTCTGGCCACACAATGTCAAGGCATGTCCGCGACTTGGCCACACCTTGGCCATCAGTCAAAACCCAGCAACAACAAAAAATTAAAATCAGAAATAAAAAACGCACAGCGCGGCGAGCGAGAGAGAGAGAGAGAGAGAGAGAGGAGGAGGGGGGCATGTCGGCGCCATGGCGGCTACCTCAGTAGCTGGCTGCGAGGCACCACCAACCGTGACAGGGACTGTGATTGCGGCTACCAAACGGCAGCAGCAGCAGACGACAGGCGACTCCTACGTGAGCTGTGGCGATGCCATGGCTATGATACCCAAAGAGCTTACATGCGGCTCGTAAAAAACAGACCCACGGCATGGCACCAGACCAGACCAGACCAGACCAGACCAGGCAACGGGCGAGCGGACAAGCTGGCAACTGGCAACTGGCAGCAGCAGCAGCAGGCAGACAATTTGTCGTCCAACTGTTTGTCCGTCCCCGGCAGCAACAGCAACAGCTAAAGCAACAGCAACAGCACTTGGCACCACTTTTGATGTCCCAAACTGAAACGTAATCGAGACGAGGCCAAGCAGAGACCGGGCTAAAGCCAAAGGCAGACTTTTGGCACACACGCAGCACGTGAGGAGCGCCCAGTTGCCAGTTGCCAGTTGCCGGCTGCCGGCTGCCAGTTGGCAGCTTGTTGCGGTTTATTTTTATGTGCGAACAGCCGAGGGACGTAGGGAATGGAATATGTGTGCGATCCATGGCACTTAAGCCGAACAATGAAAGCGCTGCTAAGGCCACGCAACCGGCAACTGGCAACAGGCAACCGGCAACTGGCAACAGGCAACCAGCAAGAGGCAACCGGCAACTGGCAGCCGGCAACAGCTGTCGTTTGGGCCACGTCAAAGCGGGCCTGGGGCG